TTGATAGGAAAAATAGAGAGGGATTTCAACAGTTGGGTTCTGTGGTTCTGAAGGGTCTTTCTGGTATTGAAGTATGGACACATCACATTTCATTAAGTAGTTAAGTCATTTAATCCATAGCCCATTCACAATTACTATATCTCTAGATAGAATCATCTCTCTATAGATTATAGATTGCCTGTTAGAGATAAACATATGCACTCAGCCAGCCCACGAGAGGCACAACCAAGAGCCCACTTTATCATATGTAAATTAGTCATACTACCAGTTTTATAGATTGTAGTTTGAATTTTAAAATTTGTGTAACTGTAGAATATTATGTCCATACATACAGGTCTTGATTTGTGCGTAACTTGGGTGGGCTGGGCTGGGTTTAAGGTCAAAGCAGGCCTAACCCTAGTAATTGGGCCTAAGTCTTGAGTCTGGACTAAGCCCAAGTTCAAACTCGATTTGTGTTACCCAGGCCGAACCCAAATTGAAATTTGACACACTTGAGTTGGGCTCAGGATCAGGTTGGGGTCGGGTGGGCTTAGGAATAGGCTAGGGTCGGGTTGGTCAATTGGATTCAAGCAGGTCCATTAATCCCAATGTATGGAAAGAATGAAAGGTTCCATAGACCTATTTAGCATCAACAATTTAAACTAGGAAAATTTATGATACTAGAAAGACAAGGCACCGGAAGAACTTTGACCAATCAAAGCACCCCTATGAATTTTGATGAATACCACCTGATTAATCGCCTCTTTTATGATATTGGTTGATTGACTATAAGTTTTCTGGTATCATAGTTAAACCAATTTAAACCATTATGTAGGCATGTGTGTGTGGGGGAGGGTAGGCTCAGGTTGGGCTAAGAATTGGTTAGGCCTGAGGTATCTAACAGTTAAACAAATAAGAAAACACAGGGTTTTGGGTCCAGACACAGTCCAAGGACTGCAAATCCAAGCCCATTCTGTCTAATATTGCAGATTGGGTCAATTGAAATTGGTGTTGGGATTTCCCAAATTGCAACCTATTGCTTATGGGGTATTTCTAATTCTAAGGGTCCGTTTGATTTGTAGTTGGAATCGGAATGGGATTTCATTCCCAAGGGAGGGGTAGGGAATGACCATTCCAACAGGAATGAGAATGTGATTCCAATTCTGCCCAACCAAACAGTTGGAATCGAAATAGTCTATTCCGATTCCGATTCCAGACCCCTATTCCCATGAACCAAACGGGGCCTAAGTGATTGCCACTCCTAATACTTGTAAAGATGGACTTGAATGCTTACAAATTCCTAGAATTTGATGGTTGTTGAGCACTACTGTAGAACCAGAAAAATGGTTTATACATCTAACGATTTTTCCTTTGGATTTATACCCTAATTCTGCTGCCTAAAGTGGGGCTCTAATCGAGTTTGATTGAGAATAACTCACATATATAATAAATTTTTATGAATAATAAAATTAAGTATAGTACCTGAGGATTTTATTATCAAATGGAAATGGGTAAAAAGATATAAAAGAAATAAATAAAGAAGAGCAAAAAAGGGATTTAATGTCTCACATGTGATCGATTGACTGTTTCAAAAGGTTCAATGGTTCAATCAGATGGTTTACTAGGTAATTCGCTGAATTCATCTTTCAGTTTTAGTGATTAATACCTCTAATTGCTAACCTCTAAACATGTTTTAATGGTTGTTCATATCTAATAGTCAAATCTAATTATATAGTTGGGATAAGGCATGGATGAAGATGATGATGTTCAAATTTAATTAATCTTAAATTTTTAAAAAATGTTATACATTATCAATTAACTAGGTTATTTTTAGAAATAAGTTGGGGCAATTTGACAAGGCTATTTTCAACGCAGAAAGACCAAAAGCTTCATTTAAAATTTCCTTATTTTCATTTTTTTCAGTCTTCTCACATACTTTCTTTCATGTCTTTCAATCTACGTGATACCAAACAGAAAAGACCATTTTTTAGTCTTTATATCTTCCCTTAGACCAAAAGCACACCAAACACCACCTTAGTATTTTCTATTTGAAGTTCTGAACATTAAAAAAAAAAAACTTTGAAATGTCATAAACTCGTTTGATAATTTTATTAAAGAAAACCCATGGTCCCAACTAGCAATTTCTTAAGCCGAACTATACATAAAACATCCATGTAGAATGCTTATGGGAGTTGGCTGCAGATTGGTGAATTAATGACAGAATTAAACCCATATGATAATTAAGTTGCAGAAACAGTAAATTGGTTTGATTGTTGGAGCACACGTGTGGGTCACTTACTTCCACAGAGATGAGATGACTGGCTGCAGTTCTTTGTTATATTCATCGATTATATATGTTGACCAATGACCATACACAGAACCATCTAAGAAATCACCTTTTCTTAGAATTCAGACAATTCTCCACTTTGGCGGGAAGCCAGGAAACTGCACCAAGGTATAGACTGACAAAGGATTGAGATATTCTCAATACACGGTAGAATGTGATTGTGAGGAGCAGATCTCATCACAGACAAAGAGAGGGATTTCTCAAAGGCTGAGGAAGTGGGCCGACCGGATTGACCTCCACTTTTGAGTTTTGATCATACACACTTGTAAATGGGGACATGACATGGCCCTGCCAAGCTCAAAGCGTCCTTTACTTTTTCAATGACTAAAATGCCCACCATCTGTTGGCTATAGATAACTCTGAAAAAATTCCACCACCAAGAATGTGGGGGACTCTGAAAGTGGGGGCAATGGGTCATTTGGAGGATCCAAACCCGACCACCAAGAATGCGGACCCGAGCTGGGATATATAATTAGGGAGGGGAGGGTGTATAAATAAGTTCAAATTTGTTCTTTGTCAAGCTGTGTGTTGAAATGTAATTACAAGTACCCATTGAGTTATCCCATGTTCTTTGCTTGAGCAAGTGACGACATTGTATTAATTGATGAAATAAAGTGCTAAATGCAAAATCAATTTATGGAAAAGTATGGTAGAAATAGGAGGTTTTAAACTAAATAGGTGTGGGACCAAAATAAAATATATGCTATGTACGTTTAATAATATAAGGAGTGCAAAATAGGGTATACTTAGGATTGGAGACAAAGAGAGAACCCAATGTGACCTTTTTAATTGCCTTAATTGGACAGTTCAAAATGACGAAGATTGTCAATGGGTCGGGCCCGATCTGATGGATTCGAATCGATTGGGCTGATTTTGGTTCCAGGAATTGGAACTGATGGGTCAGTTTTGTGTCCATTGTGTCATATACCCAATTGTCCCGAGAATCGATCGATTCGATTCTGGGTCTAAAAATTACAGAGTTTATCGGGTCTGATTCGATTTTGGGTCCTCAATATTTCATGTCAGATTGACTCTGGTTCTAACTGGTCCCGGATCAGACCCGGCCCATTGACAACCCTAAGAACAATATGGGCAAAATAGAAAGATGCATCAAGAGTCTTAAGTGATAGACAAATACCACTCAAGCTAAAAGCAAAACTTAAGAAATTATTTAAGTCCATAATGAATATATCCAAAAATGAGTATGACATAAATGCATAAACAAAAGAGATTGATTGAAGTAGTAAAAAATTATTTTCATAATTTAACACTGGATATATGTCCCAAATACAAATATATAGAATACAAAATCTTGTATTTTGTATGCATTTACATTGTATATATTTGTATTTGTACTTTTTTCAAATTGAGCCTAAGGAAAACAGTATGATGAAACAGGATTAGATGATGATGATGATTACAAGCTAAGGACACTTTTAATCACAAAGCATGGATTATTGTGAAAAAGAGTCTCCAAGCTTTTTGAATCTCTATATCTGATAATTAATGATTTGCCAAGTGTTTTGACAAGCATTTTTAGGGCTTTTAGTGTTTTAAGTGCAAAAGAAGATGAGTGCACATCTCTAGATATTCTAATTCCTAAGCATACTAACCTCTTTACTTTCCTGGATTCCTCCTCTTTCCCATCTCACCAAACTTTACCTTTTGTGGGCCTCTAAAAGAGTAAAAGACTAAAAGGTTTTATATGAACCCAGAGGAATATTTCCTTGGACAAATAGCTAGGTACCCACCAAAAAAATCCCACCACAATTCAATTCAAAAGAGAAAAAAATAAAGGTTTCAACTAGGAGATGTAGTCTTCTTCCGTGCATCATGCATCATGCATGCACCGTAATTCAACAGATAAAGAATCGGAGTCCTACCTCTATCTTCAAACTTCAAAGAGATGCGAAAGCAAATTCCTCTGTAAAAGTGATTGTTCGAATGATTCGAACGATCCCAACTTTGGCATCGCTGAAGGTAGACCGAAACTCCATTGGCTTCACTTCACTTCACATGTCCACCAATCTTCTCAGACGAGGCATTGGGCAGCGAGCATTGAAAACGATGCACAAAAATGAAAAACCCAACCAAGTAGGGCAGGGGTAAAGTGATCTATTGGGTGCTCTTTATGTTACATGTCCAAGCTTCAAAGTACTGCTCTACGTCCCAAAATGGACCTTTTATATTTCTTTTCCTTTGAGAATTTTGACCGTGTTTGATCCCTTTTTCCCTCTCTTTTCTTTGGGAATGTCTGACAGCTTCATTTACACATTTACCCTCATCACCCCCCTCTCTCTCTCCTCTCTCTCCGGCAGTTGTTGGTCAGTGGACATCTCTTCAAAGTAGGAATGGGGAACTGCAGTGGGTCTCTTTTTGTCTATACCCCTAATGCTAATTATGTAATCATCATCTTCTAAGCTTTCTCCCAATTATATGAGGTATTGTTTTATTATTTGGTTCTATTTACAAACACAAAAAAACAAATCAAGATTCATGATCAAGAGAATTTGGCAGAAATTTCAGTATTAATGGAGTACAAAGACAGATTCATAATACGAATTTTGTAATACTGATCAGTAGTTAAATACCCAGAACACAACACAAGATAACATAAATATATATATATATATATATATATATATATATATATATATATATATATATATATCAGTACACTTAATACCCTAATTTTTCACTAACATCTACCATTACTCACAACTCCCAGCCATCTCAAAAATTTACCATTCCTAGCTAACAGGTGCTGGGACCGAACCCTACATATCCATTTGCTCCATCAATGGATATCTGGATCCCTTCTTGCTGAATGTTCCCAATGATGGAAAGCCCTGTTGAGGCTGCAAAGGCAAAGCAGAACGTTCCCACTTCATCCACCGGAATCAGAAAGTTCCTCGCCGGAAGTGTCAGTATCGGCCCACCCGACAAGTAAAACGACACTGTTGGCACTCGTACTGTCTGGAACCCCGAAAGATCGTAACATGTGTCAAAGATGGAGACTCCGGATGCCCTCGGAAGGCCTGCCGTTCCGGCGATAAACGAGTCACGTAACGCCTCGTAAGCTGCTCTTGGCAACCTGGTCACTGCAGTCCCCGTGTCTATGATGGCGCCTCCCTCTCCATACCCCGACGACGGCCCAAACACATCCTCCGGCAGTGGCACAGGGATGCCTGCCACTCCTAGACCAGCAAGCCCAACAAAGTAGAAGCTTGGGGCCCGTGGGTTTCGTAGCAGTGGGACCCATGCAGCACCCACTGGCATCTCTCCACGTCCGAACGCCACTGATCCAAATGAGTCTGTGCCACGGCTCACTAGGCAGTAGCCGAAGGCACCACCCGTCTGACCTCCGAGCTGCCCAACGAATGACATTGAGCCTCCGCCAAGGCCCAACAGCCCTGCAGCCCCAACGAACATGCCACGGTTCCTGTGCCCACAGCCGATGGCTACGTTCTGGACTACAGTGCGGCCAAAGGTGAGCGTCTCCAGCGCAAGGGTCCCTTTTGTGTATGACCCATCACCATAGGACACCTCGTAGTGGCAACGACCGGCACGGCAGCCGGCGTTCTCAAGGCGCCCGCACACGGTGGAGCTGCAAGCTACACCTGCGAAGGTGGCCGAGGCAGCAGGGTCGAAAACTGGATCCAACTGGCGATAGCACTGACTACAAGGCTGACATTGCACCCAGACTATGTCACTCCCAGAATCAAGCACCATGTATTGATTCCTTGGAGGACTCCCAACTCCTATCCGCACAAAGTATTCTCCACTGCCCTGCTCCATGCCTGAAATCACCTCTGATCCGAAGTCTTCCACCTCGTAGCCAGCACCATCACCGCCGCTCAGGCGGCGGGTCAGGCTGGCGACCCTTTTGACATCTCTTGTGATGCGTTCGTCGAGACGCTGGCGGTGAGTGGAGTAATTCCCCATAAAGATCGTGTCTCTGTGAACTAACTTCAGCTTCCACCTCCCCTCAGCTTCACCTCTGTCATTGCTTTCTAAGAATTCTTGATAACTTTTCATCTCAGAACGCTGGACCTTTGTGGTCGCTATCGTTTCTCGGACGTTCAAGTGTTGATAATCAACATCCTCAAGGGTGAAGAGAGCTTGGGTGGTAGCACCACCTAGTAGCACCACTACCATGAGTAGAGCTTTTATGACTACCATCGTTCTTTTGATTTTTTCTTGTTTTGGTTCAGACAGAACTTGTTGTATGAGCAGGGGTTGAATTGAGGGCTGATTTATTTGAGTTGTTGGGCTTGAAAAGAGTGGAGAGGACTGGAGGGAAATAATTGAGTGATGGGGCTGTTTTTGTTCTTTATAGTTTATACGTACTATAGTTTTGATTGATTGGGGGGAAGTGTCATCTGTTGATTTTCTTTTCTTTTTCCTTCCTTAATTTCTCTTTTCTTAATTAAGGGTTATGTTTAATTTTCCAAACTCTTGGTCTGCATCCTAGGAAAGACAAACACTCTCTTACACTTTCATTAGTTCCTCCACTTAAGTGGAGATTCAATGGCTGAAGAGAATGTTCATATAAAATATAATTTAGTTTAAACTTTTCCACTCAAAAAAGTTCTTTTTCATTTTGAATATTTTTATCAGTAGGAGTTAGTTTAATATTGGATACTGAGATGTTAGATAAAAGTAATCTTTCCCTTTAATCAATCCAAAAGATTCAGCTTTTCTTTACCTAATTAAGAAGGCATACCTGGTTTACCAAATTAAGAAATAGGGAAAATTCCATTTTAATACCCTAAATTTTGGGGTAGTGTTAAGTTAGTGTGTCACTGCAGTACCCTTCTACCTTGAGATTGAATCAGTTATTTTTAAAGAGAAAAAACATAAAATATGATAGAGGAAAATAATAATCGAAAGCAAAGAAATAACTAGACAAGAATGTGTTTCAGATCTAAAGGTAGAAGACAGTGAATTAGTTAGTCTAGATTCTCAAACACCTCAACCGGTTCCATCAGTTTCAAGATAGAAGATAATGAACACTGTTTTCTTTTGAAAGGTAGTTTTGACATTCTCAACAGATAATTAACGGTCGATTAACAGCAGGGATCAATTTGACACTTTTTGAAAGTTTAAGTATTGAAGTGACACGTTTAAAAGTTCCGATACTAATTTGACACTACCCCCAAAGTTCAAGATACTAAAGTGAATTTTTTCCTAAAAAATAATGCAGGTATGTATGTGTATGCCTATATTTTCCCATGTGTTTTTGCTAGGCGTCAGTTTGTTTGCACTGATAATTAATTTCATTTGCATCAGTGTAACTAATGCATTGGAGTTAACTAGGCTGTGAAAATTTTGCTTCACTTTTACTTTGTGAGAAGTAACTAATAAAGTTTTCCCATCTAATATGAAAGAAAATGGAGGTAATAAGAGGATGATTAGTTGTTTAGGAATGGGGTAGGAAACAGGATGATGTGGTCTCTCCACTTTATAGGAGAGGATTGAGGTAGGAACTAGATGGTGCAAATTTTGCATCCGATTGGTTTTCAGGGTTTAAAATTTTGACTACCAGTGAATGCAAATAAAAAAGAGGTACACTTTTGTATGAGGTAGAAGTGCAAGTCATAGTTACAAACAAATGGATAGAAAATCAAGTGCAAAATTTGCATCCAGTTTAATTTTTCACTGCAATTTTTTTTTTTCTTTTCGTTAGTTCTGCAAACAAGCAGTGGGTGTGATATAGGCATCTTTTCGTTAGGCATATTTCAAAAAAAGGGTTTTGTTCTTTCTAGACCATTGTGTTGTAAAATAAACCAGCATCATGTTTGGTAAATAATGCTAAAGGGATCCACAAAATGGATGAATGGATTGGCTCAATGTATGGTCACTGAGGTGGATAACCAGGCATTGATCAAAACCATCAAACCCCACAAAAAAGTTCAACTGGGGTAAGTTGAATTTGTCGAATCTGTCAAAGAAACTCACAAAACACAAAGAGAGAGAGAGAGAGAGCCCCAGTTTTCTCTTTGTGTGCATCATCAAACATTATATAGTGGTAACTTTAATGAAATATAATATGATATGGGTGGCTTATGTTAGAGAAAGGCATGTTTCTTTTGTTTATTGCATCACAAACTCATGCTCTTGAAAATTAAACAATAAAGAAGACCACCTTTTTCTCTTAATGAGTACAGAAGGATTAGTTAAAAAGTTGGAGATTGCCAAATCTTATTTGTATACATGTTAGTGGCGGCTACTTCTTAGTGCTAATCAAAGTTTGAACAATTGGGTGTGAGTGATATTTACGATTTTAATTAGGGGAAGAAACTCAAAACCCAATATAGCATTTAGAGTTTGTTAGTAGCTAGCAATTAATGATATTGATGCATTTGTATCTAAATTATTTTCATTAATTCCATCTAACCTTAAGCACTGTTCCATATCTAATATTTAGTTTCTAATTAATCAAGGTTCAAACTATCGATATACTCAATTATGAAAATCGAAAAAAGGATGCTACTGTTTTGAAAATCGAAGAGATTGCGTGAAAGACAAAGGGGAACAGTGGTCCCCGTTTTATTTAAAACTGGTTTTGTATTCATTCTATTGGTTTTCTAAACCAGTTTATCTTCAGTTCAAGACTGGTTTAATATAAAAACCGTCAGTCTAGTTTATAAAATCGCCACCCCAAATTTTTTTTTCCAAGTTAAAAACTGCCGCCATTAGTATATTCAGGCCGACGCTTTTTGTCGCCACCGCTCTAAACCGCCCATGCATGTAATCCATTTTTCTTATGGGTTCAACTATGATATAGAAAAGAATAATATTAGAAAAACAACTGACCAATAAATTGGAATCATAAATTAACGTGGTAGCAAATCAGATGTCATTTATCAAAACTCTTTCCATATCATATCTTTCCCCTTTTATAGATTTTTATTAGTAGTATTTCAACTTAATAAACTCACTCAACTCAAAGAATTCAATGTATCAGTAACCCTGAAAGCTGATATATCTATCTCTCTCTCTATATATATACATTATGATACTCCTAACCTTGGAATATAGTTAACCACTGCCACCAATGTATGTTTAGTGTTGTCTCTATATTTTAAAATGTACATTAATATATATAGATGAAATTAAACATATTGTTCTGTTGTGTAATGTCTCCATTCTCCACTAATCCCCCAACTTCTATGTCGCTAAGAATTACTACATATTCCACAATTATTCGATAATGGGTGGTTTCAACTTTCAATAAATACATAAACAAAGAAGTATACGAGGGAGTGGGGGAGGAGACCTAAGATACAAGACAGAAGAAGTAAACAAAAGTATTGAGCAACAAGGCAATTATCAAATGAATGCTTGTCTTAGTGCATTTTAATACGACAAGAGCATCAAAAGCAAATGGAATAGAAAAAACAAGGGACAGAGTGGGAGTGTCACAAAAGAAAAGATATTAATTAGTGTTGGAATGTATGAGATATGCATGAATTACCAATAATTGATGCATTATTCACAAATAAAGTAGCACTTATTTAAACAATAGCAGTAGCATCAGCCACGAATATTAATTTTGTCATAAAAAAAAGAACCGCAAACATTAATTATAATATATATCTATATGAATACATGAATGCATGCATGGATGAATAGGGATGTCACTCCATGGGTCGGGATAGAGATTTAATTCTTTAACCCGAGTCGGGTTCGGGTCTTTTTCACCTCTGGCTTGATGGATCGTGCATGATATTAAGTCCTATATAAGATTTGTGAAGGTTTTCCTATCTTTTCCTACTTTTTCCTTCAAATCAAACATGTACAATCTTAAAGTTTAGGATTTCTTTCAATGTTTGTTTGGAGGTTCAACCTGCCTGCCTGTTAGAAAGGCTTGACGATTGCTTGATGAAATGCTTTCAAGCAGGCTTAATTTGTTTTCGGTGCAAATGTGAATGTATGGGATTATAAATGGAGTACTCTGAAACTATGAATCAGCTGACAACACCACCTTATAGGTGCATGTTGGGTGCATCATGATTCATGTATGGTTGTAGTGTCTTGTGGTTAGGATGTGGATGTGGCTAGCGTCATATATATGATAAGCAGATCCCAACTCCTTGGAAATTTACTAAGTGCATAAATTCTGGTTTACTTTTGAGTTGGTATTATTTCCTTCTGAAAAGTCTCCACTTCAAATTAAAGAATATGGAGGCAAGAGTGTTATTTGTTTGGGAGTGAAGTAGGAAGCAATGTGTTATTTGCACCAGATAAGAGTGCAAATCATATGAATAAATGGATACAAAAATTGAACCAGGTTCAAGCTTTTTATCTGGTTCAGATTGTACTGAAAAACAGAGACAAAGGCTTACTTTGCACGAAATAGTAACTAAAATAATGTGGTCTGCACCTTATATAAAAGAGAATAGAGGTAGGAGGGTTATTTGGTCCTAGGCTTAGTTTGGAAGGAGTACAAATACAAATATGTTTGGTACAAATACAGACAAAATATAAGGTTTTACATTCTATATATTTGCATTTGTACTCCCCGGCTGCAAACCAATGTTTTCAAAACCAGAGCGGAAAAACTGGGAGCCAGTCATCCATTTCAGCCCAGAACTGCTTTTTGGCCAAAAACTGTTGATTTGGTCAACGAACCGCTGACCCAGGCGGTCGAACCATTGACTAGGACAATGGTTTTTAGCCATTTTTACTTTTTATTATTTTTATTATTTTGTCAAAATGAGCATCCATTTGGTTCGAACGGTTGGACGATTCGACCTCGGAACTGGACCCTAGAATGGTTCCTTGTCCAATTTGGTTTTAAAAACCATGCTGCAAATAAATAGAGTCTAAAGAAACTCATGGAAATGTAATGTGTATTAATTTTAATGTGTTTTGTATCTATTCACACATAAAACAACTATACGAGCAAGACTTTAGGTGTCATTGCTTAGGGTCTGTTTGGTTTGCAGCCGGAATCGGAATCAAAATCCTTTTGAATTGGAATCATAATGGTCTACTCCCATAGTCTGTTTGATTCAAACAAAAATGAGAATGCAAATTAAAATCAGCAAGAATGAGATTTCATCCCAAAGAAGGAACAGGGAATGGCCATTCTCTCAAATGGGGGAAGTGTCATTCTAATTCAAAACAGTTGAAATTGAAATTGCCTATTCCGATTCCGATTGCAAACCCCTATTCCCACGAACCAAACGGGACTTTAAGACATTTCAAAGGCCATGGCATCTTCACCACAGCACCGGACTCCTTCCGGTTGGGGCTGAAGAGTGTGATCAGCCAAAGGCCTCTATTAAGTGGGAGGGAGGCTGGCTTCCAAAAGATACAATTACACGACTAGGGTGTAAGCCCTGTATCC